GATATGCTTTTCGGCACTGTTTCTTTTTATGAACTAAGATGCTGCAAAACATTTTATTCCCTACCCATCGTCGTCGCTTTCTCCCTTCTTGCAATCTAAAATTAATGTCGATATTTTTTCCCCTTCTTTCTTATCCTTCAAAGATTCATTGTTTTATCACAAAAGAAATGACTACATAGTATTTGGTTCCTTCCTATCACCGTCCGTGTAATTTTTACATTCTTTACTCTCACAGATCAAACAGTGCACAATTTTCCTCGGGCATTTTCCTCACTTTGTCCATTCTCACAAGGACAAACTGACTTCACATCTTTGATTTAACTTTCTCTCTTCTTCCAAACCAATTAATAATTAATTGTTTCTTCTCCGTCGACCCTCTTTGCTCTCTTCCCAAACCAAATGATTACAGTGTTTCGTTACCCATCGTCTTTGTTTTCTCATTTCTCAAACCAAATGATTACAGTGTTTCGTTACCCATCGACTTTGTTTTCTCATTTCTCAAACCAAATGATTACAGTGTTTCGTTACTCATCGTCTGTGTTTTCTCATTTCTTAAACCAAATTACTATTAATCTTCCTCACCTGTCGTTCTCACTTTCTTCCGGCTCGTTCGCTGACTTCTCAACCACCGCTCCCGCGGTAAACGTCACCATGGCCTTCCTAAGAGCTTCTTCCTGTTGCCTCTTAGAGACCAGTTTCCTGGGAAACAGCATCACGGGGATGGAGAAGACAAATGTCCCAGCGCCGAAGATAAGGAAGGCCAGCCACCAGGCGGCGACGAAAAACGCGTGTCTTTGGTGCTCATCTTTGTGTCTGTTGGGATTTGAGAATCAATGACTTTTACATTTTACGGAAAGTAGGTAGGTAGGTAGGTAAGTTGTACCCCACCAGGACATTACACTAGTGAAAAACACCTGGTGACACAAAGTGCCACAACACGGTTAAGGATCACCCGTGGAGAGGTCCCGGAAACCCCGTTCAGCCGTTAGGCCATATTTAAGCGCCGCTGTATGTAGGGCTCCCGGCAAAAGCCAGGATGGGGTTTTAAAATAGCAACAACAACAAAACTGCATCCCACATAGGGACGACTGTTTATATGGAAAGTTAGGAATGACCTTATGCAAAACACCCCAGCGGGATAGAACAAGAGTAATGTTTTTGATAACATGTTATCATGAAGTCTCTTGTGTAACTGGTTCAACTGCTAAGTCTAACATATGTCCGACAAAGCACAACCACCTGTGTGAACCACAGTAAACGCATTTTCTTTTGTCACTTGACAGTGAAGGTAGGCGGCCAGTTTGCTACCGCAGCGACAATACAACACCGAGAGAATCAAATCTCACTCGTACCTGTTGAATTCACCTTCGTCTAGTCCATACGTGTCAAATGAGCGCATCAGGAGATACTGGGACCTGGCCTCATGACCCAAGTTGGCCCACCTTTCGAGATTGTTTATGATGGTTAGTTAGTTAGTCGACGGATTATTCTCATTGCATGTCGAACCACTCAGTCCATAAGTGCTTGGATCCCCTCCTCGGTAAATCACGCAGGGTGTAGCGGCTTACGACACCAGTTCTGTGTTGGTTTATTATTATTCTTTGGCTACCCGAGTAGTGTTCTTGATTGGCGACACCCTGTTTAACATGTTGTTCTTTCAGTCTGACCATGGTTGCAGATTCACAGTTCTCAGTTGGTTCCTAACTCTTTTCTTTTAATCGCATTCAGTATATCAGCGTGGTCATGGCTCGCACGGCTTTTACAGTAGCCTTACCTGCAAGTCTATCAGCTTGATCGTTTCCTTTTAGGATGGTAACGTGTCGAAACAAGTATCGACGGAGGATCTTCTACTGACCACCGGTGGACTCCTGCTGTGTATACTTCCCTGTGGAGTTTTTCTATTATTATTATTTTGCTTGTTCTTGTATACTAATGAGACTTTATAACCGCATGGTTCATTCGAGGGTCTCCGTGGCGAAGCAGTCAAGCTGTTTGTCTGGCGCTCTGAAGGTCATGTGTCAGTTTTATTGCTGCGTTGTTCGGTTCAAAGATGCATTTTAAGGAGAATCCTGAGAATATTCGCGTAAGCTATGGTATACGTGCTTTGGCGCTTTAGGCAGGTGGCTACCCGTTCTGCGGCGACAGAGCAATATGGGCTAAAATAATACTGCATCCTAGAATTGTGACGGTCAGCGTTCCTTTTCAGAAAAGATTACAAAAGTGGTTAGTTAGTTAGTTAGTTAGTTAGTTAGTTAGTTAGTTAGTTAGTTAGTTAGTTAGTTAGTTAGTTAGTTAGTTAGTTAGTTAGTTAGTTAGTTAGTTAGTTAGTTAGTTAGTTAGTTAGTTAGTTAGTTTAGTTAGTTAGTTAGTTAGTTAGTTAGTTAGTTAGTTAGTTAGTTAGTTAGTTAGTTAGTTAGTTAGTTAGTTAGTTAGTTAGTTAGTTAGTTAGTTAGTTAGTTAGTTAGTTAGTTAGTTAGTTAGTTAGTTAGTTAGATAGTTATTTGCCCATCTCTTACAGGACATAGCAGAACCAACCCCAGCGTTTTTTTGCCGTTGTGGTTTTTCAAGGTACATTTTACGTTCACTAGTTTGCCATTGTTACACAAATTGGTACGTAAAATGAAAACGATAACCTCCATAAAAAACTCTACGTTCATGAGAGATGCTAGAGGTGGGGACTTGGATTCTCATATAATATTAATTAAATATACACACGGTAGAAAAGAATGAAGGAATCGAACGCAAGCCATGCGTGATGTACAGCAGTACAGCATGATGGCAAAGATGATGATGATGATGATAAACAGAGACAGGGGAAAGACGGAAATATGTGTACAGATTTAATTTTGGGGCAACAAATTATAATGTTGGCAACATTAGATTCCTCAAAACGTGGGATTAGAAATTTAAGAACGGATATCTGGTTCAGACAAGGTATCTGTAGAAAAAGCTGGACAACAGAGCACTTTTCAAAAGAGAACATAAATATCTAAACAAGAAGAATCTATCTAAATCTGCCATCCTAGAATTTGCCATGAATAAAACAAAAGGGCTAGTCAAACATATAAATGTGAACCACAATTTCTGGTATTATTTCATACACACACACACACACACACACACAAACACACACAAATATCTGCATATGTCGAGTCTCTTACCTCCCTTTATGCTTAGGATTTTAAATATATATATATATTTGTATATACATGTATGTATGTGTTTATATTATATGCTTGTGTGTATAAACAGACACACACGCCTATTTATATGTCAAGTTTGTGTCTCGCTTCGGGGTTTCTTTCGTAATGAAAACCAAATGTCTACACAATTGCAACTGTAACCCGCTCTATGACCCTCTTTAATAATAAGAGCAAAATATCTATGCAATACAACTTTGTGAACTGATTTTTGATATTTCTATCATAATTCCCCCCCCCCCCCCCCCCCCCCCCCCCAAAAAAAAAATCTATATAAGTCAGGTATTGCAACTAGCTTACCGATACTCACCTATGAGGTCAATTGGAATCTTTGAGAGAATCCCGTTGATCTGTTTGCCGACAGGAGTTGCTAGTTCACTGATGACACTGTTGATTCCTTAAAAAAAAAAAAGGTAAAGTCGGTAGATGTGAACCAGCGTCATTGCACATGGTTATAAACCATAAGTGCTCTGCCACCAGTACGGACAGCTGAAACGAATTGTCCGCCTGTGTCGCCGTCCGCACGTAACTCTGTAGCTACAGCAACGTTCCTCCATTTACCCCAGAGTGTTAACTCTGGTACCAATTTCCTAGAGATTGTGTGAACCCCGGAAACCGCCCGGTTTCGAACACCGACCTTGGCTGCAGCGAGTCGCAGTTGGATTTGAAAGCGAGCCTCTTATCGACTGCGCTAACGCGGCCCACTGTTAATTCCTGACAATTACAATGTGTTTTTTTTTTTTTTTAAATACAAAGCAACCCAAAGTGCGTTAGTTTTCTCACAACTTTAAAGTATTCATTTGTTCTAGTCTTGGGTTCAAATTCGCAACCTGGAGGGTGGTTTTTTTTTTTCTTTCAAAATTGATCTTGGCTCCCAGTTTGACCAAGCCAAACATGTGTATCCGATTGTATCCTGGACTGTAAAGGTCGCCGGCTTGATTACTACTGTATTAGACATCGAGGTCTATGACAATATGTCTAGCATCATATGCCCATTTGGTGGTAAGACTGGGTTTCCCGGCTTTCTGATGCTTTTAACGACCCCAGAATTTCGTATCTTCTTTTTCATCGTTGGGTTTGATCTCTGACTGTACTACCACACTTGGCTGGCGGCTTTGTAATATATCTATACGGCACTCGTGTGGCACCTGATCGCACGTGGAAAAGGGATCTACGATACTCGGCATCCGGTGGTGCACGTTTCAATGGAAGCCAAGCACGTTTCAATGGGAGCCAAGCACGTTTCAATGGGAGCCAAGCACGTTTCAACATCTTATGTTTCACCATGGTATCTGGTCACCCAGATCTACTCTAAGAAGATAAGAAGGACCCATATGCAGTCAAACCCCAACTTGCACTATCGGAACTGGAACTCTGCTAAAGATGAGGACCGACTGCTTATGGGAATACCCCGCGTCTGTGATGTACGCCAAGTGGGGAAGAAGTAGTTTTCGAGGGAAAATGGCACCGCATCTTCGAAAATTGGCAAAGTAGTTATCTTGTGCCGTATTTATATATTGTTCACTTTGTAAGCATTTATTTACACATGTAATGCTACTTCAGATATATTTTTATATTTATTTCTGATACAGCGAAAAACAAATTATTATTTTTATTCCTCGGTTAAACAAGGATTAAGTCTCTTGACCCATTTCCCTTTCCTAAACAATTTTTTAGAGGGCTGAGATCACACCCACAATGTTTTCTTAGAGTCGTCGACCCTGATCGCTTCTCGGCCTTTTGGCTGAGATCAAAGTGTAGTAATGTGCTCAAAACTGCCGACATGACCGCGAAGCGGAGAAACAACGGACGCAACAAAGAAGGGCCGAGGTCATGTCAAGTATGTGCGCTGCACAAACTGTGATAGATGTGTGCCCAAGGACAAGACCATCAAAAAATGTGTCATCATTAACATCGTTGAGGCAACAGCTGTCAGTGATATTTCTGACGCCGGCGTTGATGAAATGTACGCCCTTCCCAGGTTGTATGCCAAGCTGCTCTACTGTGTCTTCCTGTGCTAGCCACTCCAGAGTTGCGAGGAACAGATCCAAGGAGGCCAGGAAGAACCAAACTCCTCCTTTTAGATTCCGACCTGTCAGACAGGGACATCCTGGACCAGGCCGGGACAGCCTCAGGGAGCTCCCAGAGGAAGCGAGGTCGTGTTTCTGCGTTGTCATTTCGGTAAATTTTACTCTCGTCTTCCCATTAGCACACCGTTTCACACTAGCTCGCTTCTGACTGGACAACATACAGACCAGCTTACTTCTGATTGGTCAGCCTTGAGCGATCCGACTGTCACACAAGTTCACGGGGATATTCCGCACTCACGCACATACCGCGTGTTGTATCTTTCACTATGCCAGAACTTTTAACACTTCTAAAACATTAAGATGCTGGGTCTAACACACAGCCCCTCTAGAGAGTGACAAAACCTATGTCACAGGCCGTTTCTTTCTCGGAAATAAAAACGTAAATACCAGACAACAACAGTCTGTGACACCCTTAACCTCCACCACGATAGACTAGACCGATCAAAACAATGCAGTTGACCTACAACCAGTGATGTGCTTTTGGGGACCAGTGATGTGCTGTTGGGGACCAGTGATGTGCTGTTGGGGACCAGTGATGTGCTGTTGGGGACCAGTGATGTGCTGTTGGGGACCAGTGATGTGCTGTTGGGGACCAGTGATGTGCTGTTGGGGACCAGTGATGTGCTGTTGGGGACCAGTGATGTGCTGTTGGGGACCAGTGATGTGCTGTTGGGGACCAGTGATGTGCTGTTGGGGACCAGTGATGTGCTGTTGGGGACCAGTGATGTGCTGTTGGGGACCAGTGATGTGCTGTTGGGGACCAGTGATGTGCTGTTGGGGACCAGTGATGTGCTGTTGGGGACCAGTGATGTGCTGTTGGGGACCAGTGATGTGCTGTTGGGGACCAGTGATGTGCTGTTGGGGAGAAGAGCGTAAAATTCCCTACCATTTCAATCAGTTAACACATTTAACACGTAAAAAAAAAGGCGGAGGGGAGGGAGCAGAATCGATCACAAAACCAAGCCACGGGTGAAACCCAAACAGCGTGAGCCATCTCTGCTAAACTCATACCTGGCTGTTTCCCAGTTCAGCCTGGATTACCAACGTAGTATCTCTCGGGGTCAGTTACGTGATAATCTCCCCACGTACAGCCCATATACACACTAGCTCACTTCTGACTGGTCGACTTTCAGTCACCCGACCTTAGCAGTCTGCTACGGGGGGTTTTTCGGCAAAGCCGTTGATATCTCGTGTTGTATATTTAAGCACGCAGGCCCTTTTAACGCTAAAAAAAAATTTTAGAAACTGGGTCTAACACACAACTCCCCTACAGAGTGCTGCAACCTATGTCAAAGGCATTCTCTTTCTCGGAGGAAAAACGTAAATGCAAGACAAGCCAGAAAGGAAACAACATAGCGGTAATCTGTAAACCCCTTCCCCCCGACCCCCCCCCCCCCCCCAGACAGTAGGCCAGTATAAACAAATTATGTATGGAACGTGACCTAGTTTGTTTGGGGAGATTATCGTGGAACTGACCCCATCGGGTAGTCGGGTGGACGGGCTAGGTATTTTGGAGACCGACCCGGTCACACACACACACACACAAAGACAGCATCATGTGACAGAGACCCACCAATGAGAATGCCGATCTTGGTCTTGTCCAGCATGTTGTCGTCCATGTAGACGGCCGGCAGGAAGCCCGAATGGAAGACGTCAGTGACTCCCTTGAGAGCCTGGACAATCAACATCACTGCGAACGCCGTTTGGTCGGCCTGGGAGCATAAGAGGATTATATAAAGAAAGGGTGGAGAAAGTAAAGGACCTTTTTTCACGCCTTTCAGGCGAATAGGGTATATAGGGCTATTCCTATATTTTATAGACCAATCGGCACAAGATGGGTGATGGGGTAAGCATCACGTTGGCCGCCTTTACTTCCCGGGACTGCACACGATACCCAATCAAGGCTAGGTCGACCTGGGAGCCAGGGTTATTTTGGAAAAAAGTCCGGATCCGTCACGGAGCGAACCAACGACTTTCTTATCCACAGGCAAGTGTCTAGCAGCTCCGGCACGGCGACTCCCAAGGGTGTAAAAGGAAGTGGAAAATAATGGGTACCAGGAATTTGTACCATGTTTTAGGAAGTGGAAAAGTCAAGGTAAAAAGAAGGATGAGTTGGAAGATGGGGAGAACGAGGGAAGGGGATGAAGAAAGATATGAATGACAGCCTTTAAAACCTGGACATCACTGAAAACGCCGTTTGGTCGCAATGGCAGCATAAGAGGATTGTATAAAGGAAAGGTGAAAAGGGAAGTGGAAAAGTAAAAGTAAGAAGGATGAGTTGGAAGATGAGGGGAGGGGGGGGGGGAAGAGAAAGACATCAGTGACACCCTTGAAGGTTTGGACAACCAGCGTCACCGCAAACGCCATCTGGTCGGCCTGAGAATATCACATTTGGATGAAAGGGAAAAGTAATTGGAAGTATGGGATAGACTAGGAGGAGACGAAGGAAAAGAACACGAAAGAAGAGGAGGGTTAGAAAAGGAAAGAAAATTAACAAGACGATTTGGCTGGGAATGAGGAAGACGATGTGAATGAGAGACACTGAGACTCAAATGAAGGCATGCTCTACCAGAGGGAGTAAGAAGAAAAGTGAAATGGATGAAAAGAAGAAGACGGAGGAGGAGGATTGGTAGCCTAAACAAAAGCAAGAAGAAGAAAAGAGCGTGGAGGAGGAAAGGTGAAAGTATATTGTGTTGATGCTTCATTCTTCGCTCGCCTAAAATAACTTTATATCAGCAATTGTGTCTCTCGTATAATTTTCACTGTATATGATCATGATTGTGGTGTGGTAATAAGGATGATTATGATGATGGCGATGACAATAATGATGATAAGGATGAAGATGACGATAGTGATGAAGATGATGGTGGGAGGGGGACGAGGAGAATTAAGATAAGAAGAAGAATGAAAATAAGTAGAGAAGAAAAATAAGAACTAGTAGGAGCAAGAGGAGAAGGAGAAGAAGAAGGAGAAATTCAGAACTGGGACAGAAGTGATAAATGAGAAGCTTGGCGTTGGGTGAGTGTAAAATGGAGATAGACAAACAGAAGAGCACTGATATACATATGCTTCGGTGAGTGTAAGACGGAGATATACAAACACAAGAGCACTGATATCATACATCTGCTTGGGTGAGTGTAAGATGGAGATATACATACAGAAGAGCACTGATATCATACACCTGCTTGGGTGAGTGTGCGACGGAGATATACAAACACTAGAGCACTGATACCATACATCTGCTTGGGTGAGTGTAAGACGGAGATATACAAACACAGGAGCACTGATATCATACATCTGCTTGGGTGAGCGTAAGACGGAGATATACAAACACAAGAAAACTGATCACATTTGCTTGGGTGAGTGTAAGACGGAGATATACATACACAAGAGCACTGATCACATCTGCTTGGGTGAGTGTAAGACGGAGATATACAAACACAAGAGAACTGATATAATACATCTGCTTGGGTGAGTGTAAGACGGAGATATATAAACACAAGAGAATTGATCACATCTGCTTGGGTGAGCGTAAGACGGAGATATACATACACAAGAGCACTGATCACAACTGCTTTGGTGAGTGTAAGACGGAGATATACATACACAAGAGCACTGATATATTACACGTGCTTGTGTGAGTGTAAGACGGAGATATACAAACACAAAAGCACTGATATCATACATCTACTTGGGTGAGTGTAAAATGGAGATATACAAACACAAGAGCACTGATATCATACATCTGCTTGGGTGAGTGTAAGACGGAGATATACAAACACGAGAGCACTGATATCATACATCTGCTTGGGTGAGTGTAAGACGGAGATATACAAACACGAGAGCACTGATATCATACATCTGCTTGGGTGAGTGTAAGACGGAGATATACAAACACGAGAGCACTGATATCATACATCTGCTTGGGTGAGTGTAAGACGGAGATATACAAACACAGGAGAACTGATATCATACATCTGCTTGGGTGAGTGTAAGACGGAGATATACAAACACGAGAGCACTGATATCATACATCTGCTTGGGTGAGTGTAAGACGGAGATATACAAACACGAGAGCACTGATATCATACATCTGCTTGGGTGAGTGTAAGACGGAGATATACAAACACGAGAGCACTGATATCATACATCTGCTTGGGTGAGTGTAAGACGGAGATATACAAACACAGGAGAACTGATATCATACATCTGCTTGGGTAAGCGTAAGATGGAGATATACAAAAACAAGAGCACTGATATCATAGATCTGCTTGGGTGAGCGTAGAATGGAGAAATACAAACACGAGAGCACTGATATCATACATCTGCTTGGGGAGTGTAAGACGGAGATATACAAACACTAGAGCACTGATATCATACATCTGCTTTGGTGAGCGTAAAATGGAGATATACAAACACAAGAGCACTGATATCATACATCTGCCTTGGCGGTAGTGTTCTCTCTGTGGCTTCCGTTGTTAAAGTACTCAGATGTCCTACACAGGTAGTTCCCATTGGTCCCGAAATTGGTTTCGTTGGAGTTGTTTGAGTGTGTGTCGTCTGATCTGTTATAGTGATTAACTTAGTGTTAAAATCTGCACCATTTGGGTGGGGAATTGATACATGACAAGGTAGATGTGGTCAAGGCCATTTAGGAACAAACTCTGAAAGCATGCTGAGAAAGGTGAAGACAAAGATGCTTCGAGCAGAGTGGTAAGCTTCACTCGGGTAGTGAGCATACTTTGGATCTTTTCTCCAGGCTATGCCGGCGTAGTGGGTAATGATCAAGCAGAAAGATTGACTAGATCTGCACCACAGGATGGTGAACTGATATATGACAAGGCAGGTGTGGTCAAGGCCTTTTGGGAACAAGCAACGGTATCAGTAGAGAAACAAGATTATTATGGTCTGGAGAGAATGAGGCACCTGGGTGTAACCAGGAGGTCAGGTTACTACACACAAAGGAAAAGCAAGACGGACATATAACTAGATTGAGACCGGTACCATCAGTGTTGGAACTCTGCGCTGTCTGCTGAGGATGGAGACAGAGCACGCATGGAAAGCCCCGAGTACTGTGATGTCAATTCTTGACTCAACTAAACTCAACTTAGTTTTTAAGTACTGCTCTATATCATTTTTTTTTATAAGTTAGTGAGTCAAACAAACAATCAGTAAACACATACATATCTTAGAATAGTACAGGAAACATATTTCCAGTGCACATAATGTAAATGACTCTTTTCCACTTCTTCAGGTGTATTGGGCATTTAAGGCTACAATTATATTTTATAGACCATTCGGCACTCTTTGGGTGATGTGGTCAGCACCACGCCCCTGCCTTTACTTTCCCTGGTACCCATTCAAGGCTGGGTCGACCTGGGAGCCAAGGTCGTCTGTGAAAAATGTCCGGCTCCAACCGGAACCGAACACACTACATTCTAATCAGCAAGCGAGCATCTAGCCGCTACCCCACAGTGGCTCCCCAGTGCTCATAAGCACTAACAAATATATCGCAGTAATGAAAACAGGGGATAGAATAGTTTAAATCAGTGATTCCCAAACTGTACGCTGCGGTGCCCGGTGAAGTCGCCATCTCTGCACAGGGGCACAGAAAAATAGTGTAAAATCTTCAAAATTAATTTAACCAAGACACGAATAGTCATACTTTTACTTAGGTTAGGGTGCCATGGACAAATTTCATTTAAAAAAAAAATTTAAAAGCAAAGAAACCGCGACCAAGAAAAGTTTGGGAAACCCTGGTTTAAATAGTAAAATATTGAAATAAATCTTGTTAGGTATCACATTGTAATTAACCACACAAAATTAGTGAATTAAATACATTCTTACCTGTGTGTGACTGCAGGTCACCCATGACTAGTGAGGCTGTTACGAGGACTTAATTATAACTTTTTTAGAGTCTACACAACAGATGTGCACGTAGAACTCATGTTTTGGAACAAGAGCAAAGTTTAGAAGGGGAGCTACAACCAGAACTTTCAGCTGGAATTTACAGACAGTTAACGCTAAGAAAATGAAGAAGACTTCCGTTCGCCATAATTTTAATAGCCAGATTCAGTGGCTGAAGTACTGACGAGAAAAGACTAACAGCTTGTCAAAAAGACAGAAGAAAATATATGCATATGTCGGTGGTTTAAGAGTATGGTTGGAATGCATACACTCAGACAGACAGACAGACAGACATACAGACAGGCAGACAGACAGACAGGCAGAAGACAGACAGACAGACCGACAGGCAGGCAGGCTGGCAGGCAGGCAGGCAGGCAGACAGACAGACAGACAGACAGACAGACAGACAGACAGACAGACAGACAGACAGACAGACAGACAGACAGACAGACAGACAGGCAGGCAGGCAGGCAGGTAGACAGACAGACAGACAGACAGACAGACAGACAGACAGACAGACAGACAGACAGACAGACAGACAGACAGACAGACAGACAGACAGACAGACAGACAGACAGACAGACAGACAGACAGACAGACAGACAGACAGACAGACAGACAGACAGACAGACAGACAGACAGACAGACAGACAGACAGACAGACAGACAGACAGACAGACAGACACGCAGACAGACAGACAGACAGACAGACACTTACATTACATCCAACTTGAATGGGTCCGCCAGCTGAAGAAATGCAGGGACCATGAGAATGGCTCCTTGAATGATTCCGGCAAATCCAACCACGAAGGGTATGTTCACTCGCTAGAATCATACATTCGTGATTAGGTGTCAGAAAGCTAAGCTTCTCTGAATCAGTTAAGTCAAAGAAATATTCCATAAACAAAGGACACATTATATGATATAAACATGTCGTTTTGGGGCATATCTCGATTAGATTTAGGTTTCACCTCACGGCAACATCACCACTCTTGAGAAAGAAAAAAAAACTGTTTAAGAAAAAAATGAAGGTAAAACCTGAATTACTTATAATCATCATGTCCCATGTGTATTGGTAAGACCCGCCCGCGTTAAAAAAAAGTTTTAATAGAGAAAGTGTTTTCAGTATGGTCTGAGCTTACCTTGGCAAAATGGCCAGCAAAAAGAATGGTAGATAGATGACCAATCCTAGAAGCCGTATCAAACAGGCCGGCTTTAGCGTTGTCAATGTTAAACTGTCGTTGTATGGAAGTCAGCTGTGAAAGACAGAAGTAACGATGTAAGCGATACATAAGTTATACGTTACTCATTGGCAGGCACACTTCCTGTATGTATGTATGTATGTATGTATGTATGTATGTATGTATTTATGTATGTATGTATGTATGTATGTATGTATGTATGTATGTATGTATGT